TGAATAATGATTGAATATTCTACTTTATGAAGTAACTTATTTCTCACTGGTTAGTCCTGGGTAACGTTACACTTCTAGGAGACTGATGACTTAGGAAATTATGTGATTCTTTATACACTGTCATTAAAACTATAGGCAACCACAATAGAAAAATGTATCTGTTCCATGCTATGATGCAGCAGGAACATCAATAAGCTTTCATTTTCAGTTTACCCTGCATTACCCTGTAATCCAAGCAACGCAGAAGATGGAGCTGGCCTCCATCCTGGGCTCTCTCACATGCTTCCTTGGCATGGTCAGAACCTTCCTCAGCCTTTGTTTCCCAGCTGCAAGGATACTTTTCCAAATCTACTTGAATTTTACCAAACTCTGAAAGCTTTTATGTGCAAAATCCTGGCAATAAAGGCCCCATGACTTGAATGTCCCTGCTTTAACAGCACAGTTATTTGTTGGCTTCATTTCTGTTCCTACACAGACACCCTCTCATGACAAATAGCCACTGGGACAGCTTGCTTCTCCTTCCAGACCCTGCTGAGAGGGGCTGTCTTCCAGCCTGTCCCTCTGGAAATATCCCCATGTCACTGTGCTCACAGCACTTGCTTTGGCTTGAGCCAAGCGAGAGTTTCCCCATGTCTGAGATTAGGTGCTGGCTGTCATATGTCATGGGAACAATGGGGAAGCCAAAACAGTTTTACGTAGGCACTGTGGAAATGGGGAAACTTGGTGTCTGGTCTGTCCTGTGCCTCGGGTGTGATGAGTCACTGGTCTGCTGGAGAAGTCAGTTTTCCAGAGGCAGAGCTGTTGGACCAACAATGCAAGGCCCATGGTAGGTGTAAGTACCAAGAAAAGTCCTCTGCTGCTTGGAAACAGATCATGTTGTAACATTTGTTGGGGATTTTTAGAAACTAATTTCCATTTTGTTATTCCTACATAATAATAAATGGTGCTTTATCATAGCCCTAGACCCAAAAGCCTGATATAGACAAAATGGAAGAAAATCTAGTCATCAATAGAGTTCTTACAAGAGTAAAGCAGGATATTTCTTTCCCCAAAAAGTTATTACCTTTTGCAGCACTCCCTTATTTTGCTATCTATCCTGTAGAAATACTCATATTTGAGTATGCTCAAATATTTGCCATATTTAAAGTAATTTTGTGCATTATAATCATACTATACTAGCCATCCTATCTTGTAGTTTTGCATTAACATTCATAGACCAAAATAAAACTGGAATGAGCTACAACACATTTATTTGCCTGGGAGACAAGATGCAGGAAGATGTCCTTTCCAGATGGCAAAATCATTCATCCCTCCACTGATCTCCACAGCCACTAAACACTCCATACATCTCAGGAAAAGGCTGAAATTGCATACTAGGATTTGAAAATAACTGAAGATCTGAATTCCACTTATCATGTGGAAGTGTCTTTTCCTGATTTTTTCTCCAAGATCTGTGTTTGCACCACGTTAATGAGCTGGTCACTTTAACCTAAAATTAAAGCTTTAAGCTTGCAGTTGTTTTGATGGCAGTAGCTGCACATGGAAGAGCTGTAAGTCCAGGTGGAATATAAGATGGGACAAGTAAACCCACAAGTTTTCTATCCGACTGTGAATCGTATTGAGACTAATAAAATAAAATTAGTTATTTTCCTCCAACCAAATCCACACATGTTTAAACATCTTCAAAACCTGCAGTGGAATATATTACACACTGAAAAAGTGTTTCAGGTCTGCAAGACACACCTTGTTCAAGAGAATTTATATAGTCAAATATCAAGAAAAACAAAGGAGTACTGGGAGTACTGTGCCAGCTTCATGAAGGGATTTGACCTATGTGTTTTCTTTGCAAGCTCAGCCATGTCCCAGACATAGATGATGAGCACAATATGGAATCTATCATAAAAGTCTTTGCCTTTGTAAAGGCTCAAGCATGTTATAAGCTTAAGACCTTTATTCCAAGTCTCAGAATGTTGCTACATTTGCATCTCTCAGTTCCCTGTCCTAAGCTCCATGCTTTTCAAATAAGTTCCCTAAAGCACTAGATGTTTTTCCCTAGAAAGTTCTGTTTGTTTGAGGTAAATATGCTTGAAGAGCAGAAGACTTCTGGTAAAGACTAGATGAGTATGATATGGTTAAAGTAGATCTGAACCCTTGGAGAAGATCCCCTCCAATGAAACATTCAACCTTCTTCCCTTCCAAATTGACTGACTCCAACGATGTTGGGTTTTTGTCTTCTGTCTGTGCATATTCCTATGTTAAGCCAAACAGCACAGATTCAAGGGGAATTACAAACATTGCAAGTGAAGAATTTGATTTGAATTTTCACATTATATTGAACAACTTGCAAGAACATTACAATTATACCTAATTTTGATAGGATGAAGGCATCAGTAGTGGAGTAAGATAACTAAATTGTCCAAGTCATGATGAGAATATTTGCTGGAAGCTGCTGGGGTACACATGTGTATCATATGTCAGTGAAACCATTCCTGCAGGAAGACCGTATTTTGGAACCTGCCCACCCTGTGGCAGATTAGGTAGTGAAGCTGAGAATAAAGCTCAGAGGAAACAAGATGGGAACTGTGGAAGAGAGGAGGGGAAAGAGAGCATTCATATCAGGAAACATGGGAAACATGGGAAACACTCCTGTCCTTTCTGTTTACATCATGGCTTTTGTCTCTGTGCTCAGTAAGGTGTGTAATTACACTTTGTTTATGCAGCAGTGTGTTTCGCTTGGCACAAGACAAAGCTAAATATCCCACAGAACATGACACTGAATGCTTGTTTCTTATGACTTTTCTGGAGTACTGTGGATAAATGCAATCCCAGAATTATCAAAACTCTATGTTTCACAGAGGCAGGTAGAATCAGGCTTAGCACAAGACCTGGATGCTCACAAATGAGATGCTGTCTCATGGTCTCATCTTCTGGGTGAAATCCAAGACCAGCATCAGTCAAATGCACCCTGTGTGAGGAAAGGCAGAAGCCCCAGAATCCAAACCTCACACCAACTGAGGAAGAAAAGCATGGTATGAAAAATGGAGAACAGGGTTGGATCTGAACAAATCTCACCTCTGGCGAGGTGTCTGAAAAAGGGGGATGGAAAGGATCAGGACAGTGACAGCCAGGTCTCCAACCCTTTTATGGGTCAGGGTAACCCACCCCTGCAATGGCCAAGATCCACATCGTAATGACATAATCTTGCATAGGCAGAAGCCTGGCAGCATAATCACCTGTCACTCAGTTTATGTGCAGGTTTTTTACATATAGGCTTTACATATTCTCCCATTGGCTAAATGACTCCATTGTCCCAGACATATCTTCCTTTTCCACCTGGAAATTTTATCCAGGAGGATTTTGAGGATTTACTTGAAGTAAGGTAATAAGCTCAAAGAGGTCCAATGATAGCTGCATTCTCACCGAAAGCATAATGCAGCCATACAGCACATGAACAGTATTTCTAATGCTTCCAGAAGCATCAGCTGACTCTTCAGCTGAGAATATTCTGCATGTGTGTACTAAGTCCAACATTTTTGTGTTAGTGCAGGACTAACTGTGGATGTGATTCATGGTAGCCATAGGCATTGCGGCATAGTCCGCATAGAGGATGACCTCTCTCATTTGTCTGTAGATGCTGTCCAGTGAGAAACTGCTTACAACTGCTGAATTTAAGCATGTCAGAGTGAGGCAGGATAAGCAAGGAAGTGAAATACCAAACAATTGTGTAGGACCTGAAAGCAAGTTGAAACTTTTCTTGTATTATCAAGAAAAGCAAGGTAAAACGTCTTAGCATTTTCTGCCCAACTAGACCTGATCTGGAGATCAGGAGCCTCATGGAAACTCAGGACAGAGAAGGCCTTTGCTAAGCATCGTGGTCTCTCTCCTGCTCTCCAGTGCCATGTACCAGAGGCCAATTTGCTGGCTTGATCCATGCCCAGCCATAGAGCTGATGCAGGAGCTCTGAGAGCAGGACTGGGCATGATGCTTAATGGAGCTGGTCTTGTCCTGGGGCCCTACACTCACAGAGGCCTGCTACAATTAACTTGTTACAGCTGAATTTTGTGCACAGGAACCAAACATGATGAACTTTCAGGAGCAATTTTCAAAAGCTGTAATAAATGATCCCTGAGATTGTTTCTGCAAGTGCTTTTATGTTAATTTTCAACAAAAGCAGTTGAGATTCTGAGCTTTAGATAAAAACGTTCTTCCTTTTAATTGGAATTAGTATAAATTGTAAGAACACTTGAACTTTCCTCCTGGTTCACTGATCTACAGAAAAAGAGAAAAAATAAAGAAACAGGGCACATCCAGAGTGATCCTTCTTTTGGTCTATTCTCCCAGATTTGTGGTTTACATATTTTCAAGCTGAGGATTGCTCCTGGGTGGACGTGTTTAATAGCATAGTTAACCAAAACTCAGTGCAAACAAGAAATCCTTTCATCTTTTAAAACTCTTTCACACGACCCACCTATCAGAGCAGTTTCAGGGCAGCATTCTGCAGCCTGACACTCCCAGGGAATATCTTCCTGCCATCTCTCATTTTTACCTCCCATTTCTTGCTGGCATTCAGGACTGATTTATCACACTAATAGCAGGCTTACCCACACAACTTGCTGTTTGGGCATTTGATCAGCAGCAGCTATTAAGTTTTGGAAAGCAATGATTAGTGAGAAGTTACTCGCTTCTTCTAGGAGAGGAAGAAAATATTAAATTCTCTAATATTTTCTACACTGGTACATTACCACGTGTGGACTTCTGCACTATGCATCCCACCATCTAAAGCAACCAGGCTGCTTTCTGCATAGGGATGAGGGACTTCCCTTCTTCATTCTGTTAGCCAAAAGCCTTGAGGCATTTTAGTGACAGTCCCTATTGCCCATAACTTCATTTATAAATGTCAAATATTAGGCAATACAGTTAGGAAAGCTGGGGGAAGGTGAGCTCAGAGATGTATCCCACTGCTTCAGATACCACTACCCGCCACCCTTGCAGGTGCTTACCGTAATCCATGAGGGACTCGCAGGACCATTCCCCACCCTGCTCAGGTCTCCTGCAGCTCTCCCATAACGACGCTTGGTGCACATAGGGCAAGGTCTGCGACTCCAGCCAGCCCCTTCCCGCCAGTGCGATGATACCGAAGATGACACCTATGCCCAGGAGCAGAGGTAGGATCCATCTGCACCGCGTGTAGTCAAGGCCGTACTTCACCATCTTTCAGGGCAGGGGACACTGATGGGAGGAGGACAGCTGTCTCTGCCACGGACTCAGCAGTGCAGAGCAATGGAAGCTTCTACAAAGCCCCCGGGAAGCGAGCACTGGCTGGTACCTATGAGCGCCTGTGCAGATGCTTGAGAAAAAGCTTTCTAATCAGGAGAGACACGGCAGGCAGGGAAAGAGGGAGGGACAGAGGGAGTAAGGGAGCTCCACCTAAATTCACATGAGTAAGAGCTGCCGCTGAGCAATAACCAGTTGAGCTAGGGAGAAGCTTCCAGGCTGGGTTTATCTGTGGGATCCTCTCTGCTCTGCTGACTTGGTAACAAATCAGGTGCTGTTTACTCTCGGCACTTAACGCTTTCCTTCCTGCCACTCCCCACCAGGAGCATCTCACAGCTGTGTTTACATCTTTCTATCTCCCAAGGGATTTGCATTATGGCAGGTGAAAACCGGAGACAAAACAGGGAATTATTTGTATTAGAGGGTGGTTGCTTCTGAAACTTGCCACCTGGAGGCTGAAAGCTGCCTTTCTTGGACCCCATTTAAAAATAAAATGATACCTTACTTTTTTGCAATTAAATAAAATCCCCTAACTGCTATAAAGCTGAGACAAAGATGAATATGTGACTGGCCTCCCTTTCCCTTTCTGGACATAGCTGCAGGGAGGGGGAAATAACAAGGTTTATCATTAAAAAACACAGTATGGTCTGTATATAGCCTTCATGAGAGAACAGAAACTGAGCTTTGATTTGACTGTGCCTTATGAACACTCCCTGTGCATGGTTCTGGCTGTACGTGCACTGCCTGGGGCCTGTCAGAGCCTGCCTGCAATGTGCTATGGGAGCAATGCAGAGATGAGCCATCACCTTGCCATGTCCCAGGAGGCCAACCTTGCTGAGCATGGGACGGAGTTTTCCATCTGTCAGCTCAGAGGCAATATAGCCATGTTCATAGCATTCTCCCTTTGAACTAACACGTGCTACAACCTAGTACTTTTGTAGAGCCCAGACACATTTACAACAGGAAGCAGCTGCACCCTTTGCAGATCAAAGCTGGTTTCTGTGAAGAGCGGCTAAACACAGAGGGTGTAAAGCACCCTTTGCTCCCATGGTGGATTTTGTCAGGCAGTGTTGTATGTAAGTACCAACCTCATTTACTCTCAGAGATTTGCAGCTACATTGCAGCTGTCATGGTGAAATGTGACATCTATACTGAGCTGCAAACTCCACAGCAATTTGCTGAATTAATATTCATAAATCAATAATGGCCTAAATAAAAGGAATTAATAATTTACATTAAATTGATATACTGTAGAGAGGAGTGCCTGAAGAGGCATTGAACTTGCACACATCCAGACTGGAACATCCGTAGCAATGAGTTGCAGCGCCGTGGAGAGGTAGCTCTGTCATGAAAGCGATTTGAATGGGTTAATGCGGCACCGCGCCTTATCTCTAATCAGAGATAGTTTATTAGCCTAGTGATAGATTAGCAGTGGCGTGGCTGTTTTGACTCTCATTCTCTAGTCGGTGCAATTCTGGCTAGCTGAAGCATCCCACCAGCAGCTCCCACAGAGTATAGACATGGCCAAATATGCCTGAGGTTGTGAGAGGTCCAGGGGCGTTCAACAAGCCTCTGTAAGAGCAGGAGACATCTTTACAGCTTTGGCCATTGAATTTGAATGTCACTGAAAGTGAAAGTCAACTATGAAGACACCTCGGCTGCTGGTTGGGGCTGGAAATAAGGGAGAATAGCAAGTATTTTTGTAAAGTTCCCTAAAGTGAACCACCACTTCTTTAGAATGTCATGTATATTCCCTTGTAATCCACGTTGGTGCTACCCACAAATTCAGATATTGTTAACTTAGATATCATGTTTAAAACCACAATTACCAGGGACATGTACTGCATGCATTGCAGTGATCATGATATTTTAAAATAATATCTTTAAATAAATGTCATTTGAAGCTCACCCTTAGTGCAATATGCTGGTACCCGCAAGATGCTCAAATCTGTTTACACATGTTCTTTCTGTTGCCACAGCTGGGGTAGAAATGGACACAATAAGCGTCAAAAGATCAAGAGGATACGGATTTGGATATTAAATAGAAGCTCAGCCATTTTTTCTTTACTCAGAGAGAATAACCAAATCAAGTTAAAACAATTTTGCAGCTGAAAGCCAGCATGAAGTCAGGCACTGCCAGGTATTTGAAAACCAATGTTTTTGGAGGAAAACAATCCTTTTCCCTGCTTCTTGGGAGTTGAGCCATGTTTCAGGTAGGCATTTATGACTGAAGGATTTGTCATCAGTTTTGTTGGAACTCACATGTGGGTGAATGTTAGCATTCTCAAGATGGTACTACAAAATACATTATCACACTGGGAAAGAGAGATGAGTATTGTTCAGTCACCATGGGTGTTTCTACCCATCTTTGTCATCCTTAAGTACCTTAAAACTACAAGCAATCTTCTCACTCAGTACCAGGGTAATTTGTGGTATTTGGAACAGCAGAGAGGGAGCTGCATTCAAAGGCGACAAAATGAAGTATCTCAAGTAATTCTGATACTCCTACGGCACACAGAGGGAAATGGCTGGAAACATTTGTTAAAGAATCTGTGATTTGAAGTGATGTCTTACCCTCAATGTGATTTGTCTTTTGAAACATACAAGCTGGGTGTCTACATGAAAGCAAATGCTAGTTCTCTTTTTCCAGCACCTGTGGCAAATACCGGCATTATCTGTTGAAAATTAAGATAATTAAGATTTATCAATGTAAAAACTGTTAGACTGTAGTGCACTTTCTGCATCTGAAAATATTCCTAATGATGCTTCATTGCTACTTGAAGTAACCAAGTAAGCAGCAGAATATTAATAAACCAAAACGTTCTATGGCATAGAAAAATAAAAATATGCCCATTCAGCCAAGACAGAAATGATTTTCTTAGTGGAAGAAGAAGCTAACAAATGATTGCCAGCACATTTTTGTCCACCGTTAAGTCTGCTGAGCTGGTCAACTGAGCTATATAAATGACTGGATTGACTTGGGCTGACCAGCTGTAGTGCATTTTCATTCCATACCACTTATAAACAAGAAGTCCCCTGAGTTTGGTTTTTAAAAGCTTTGCTAAGATTATTTTATGATCCGTTCTCTTGTGTGCTACCTTTGGAGAGGGCTGCAACTTGCCTTGCTACTGGAATATGGCACTGCAGTTATTGTTATAACCACAGCCTATAGAGTGAAGCAACTCAGTCAGTCAAATCCTACCCTGGCTAAATTGTACCTTGTGGTCACTCTGCACCCTGCATTACCTGTGCACCAAGGCAATAGTGTTCTCAGTGTGACTAATACTTCATCCCTAGTAAGCACATATAGAAAAATACCTTTGTTTTTCAGGGTAATCCAAGCTGCAATTCATTTACATTCATTAGACAGATATTGGATTTTGTACAGGACCTGACTTCATTGCAAAATAAGAACAACCTCCTACATAAATGAACCCAGTTGAGATCTTGCAGTTTCCCACACGTGGGGCTTTTCTGAGAGACTCTCCCATAGTGGCTGAAAACCGAGGATCATCCATGATGCTTGTAGTGCGTTGTAGTGTAGTATAGACTGAGTTGGTACTTGGTCCTTCTGCCATGTGCCTGTGAAAGCATTCCTCCAGCTGCCTCGCACAGCACAGGAAAGCTCTGCAGAAGTTTGAGACCTCTGTTCACTAGCTGCTGAGCCTGGAGGATAATTTCCATGGGGTTAATACTTTTAGCAAGAGTTGTCCAGGACTGGTTTGCTGTCAGATCGCCAAAGCCTGCCCCATGCACATCACTTGCTGACTCTAGTCAGTAAGGCAGGCCTGCCTCAACAAGACAAACACTTAGGCTTAAAGGGCAGTTTCTTCCTTTCCTTAGTGTGACTACACATGCAAAACCAGAAGATTACCACAAGAGCAAGTTTTAGCAGCTGAGTTGATAATATGAGCCTGCACCCAGGATTATTATTTATGTGAGGATTTCAGGACTGTATTAGGAAAACACAAAATTAGTCTCTGTACCTGAGCATGGATTTCTTTTTCAGCCTGCTTGTGATAAAGGACAAGTTTCTTCAGCATACATTCTACTGGAACCAGGTTTAATCCCCAGTTATTTCTTATAGATGCTCTGTAGAAGTTTGATTAATTCAGTCGACCTCCAACCCTTCCTCCCCAGGCAAATGGCTGAAATCAAGAGTATCCTGTAAAGCCACTACTCAGTTACCAGCTGGGATGTCTTCTGGACATTTGTCACCATTGCTGGAGTCTGTACCTTCTACAGGCAGCTGTCAGGCCACACAAGAGTGGTATGGTACAGTCCTGTTCTACATATAAAATAATTTTACTTAATCTACTTGCTTTGGGCTCTAGAACTTCTCTGTGGCTAACTAAATAGTTGTCCTACGTTATGATCCTAGCCTTAGCTGCCTTAGGAGAGCAATATAATCTGCCTTACATAGGTAATTCCCAGGTACCACACTTTTTTTACTTACCTTTCTGTGTCAGAGAAATGGCTTTCATTCACTGCGCCTTATGCGTCAGTTGCTAACAGCACCAGCTACTTCTTTTCAGCACTTTGAGATTTACAGATAAGACATGCATACCAGGCATATCTTTAAGAGTTTTGGCCATGAATTTTTGCTTTGAGATTCTCCAACCAAAAGTAGGGCTTCACTGAAACCAAAAAGTTATATAGAAATGACTTCTTCGGTATGATATGGAATTGATTTGGAAAGCTGGCTGAAATGAGCATGGTGGTCTCCTATCAACATTTTCAACTTTTCCTATTGTCTTGATACAAAATGTCAAATATGATTTCCCCAAGTTTTGTTTTGCAAGTTGTTTTGTCTTTCTATTACAAATCGGAACAGAAACTAATTTTCACTTGCCAAAATTCATCTAAATCTTTTTTTTTTATGGTAAGATCTGCTTATTTCTTGTCCTAGGGGATTACTGACACAAACAGATCTTAAAAACAGGCTATTTACTGAAAACGGATTGTAACGGCCACATGTCAGCTCCTGACCCAATTATATGCCTTCAAGACCAAGGCAGTCAACTAATTTACTTTAATCCATGACCATTTCCCAGAGCACCACACTGAAGGATGGGAGTTGGATGGCTTTTTGTCTCACAGTTCCATGTGAGTGCTCGCTCCAAACCTTTCTGGGCTCTTTCAAAATCAGTGAACACTGATTTCCAATGTGTCCCCTTGATGCTTGGTAATTCTTAGTACTTGTAAAATATTGTGTATTCACAAAGATCTCTGTGGAAAATAGTATGTGTTGCCCACGTTTCCATAAATAAATAAAAAGCATTAGTCCCACCACTCCTTCCAGTAAATATTATCCAATCTTGCAAAGATGAATCCACGAAGAATATAATTCATGGAAACATTTCTATTAATTATTTATTGATTATATTAATTATATATAATTCATATAACTTATCCATCATTATGTATTTATATTGTTTATACTTATAATATTCGTGTTATAAAGCTCTAGATATGCCTGCATGTTTTCCATTACAGCCTTTATGATAAATTCAACCTTATTAAATTTAGGTTTTCAACAATCATAATAAAATAACTTTGGGTTATTCTGACAAATCCCAAGTAATTTAAATAGAATTTTATAGAGGCAAAATTTGAGGGCATTGGCTTTTTTGCCTGGAATTTCTGGATGTGAAGCTCCATAGCTGGAGTGGCTTGACCCACACCTGTGGACACCAGAAAACCCCAGACAAAAGACTGCTTACTGTACTAGCGCAGACCTACATCATGGATACATCAGACCCATCTTACAAGTACGCTGGACATGCACAGCAAAATCAACATATTCTTGGTCAGTGGGATCCACACATATAAACTGCTGCACCTGTGCAGTAATGCTGACATATCCCAGATGCTGTGCATTCATTGCACATGGATTTTGCTGCTCCTGTACCAACACCTGTTATAGGAATCGCATTCAGAAACTCAACATCCCTATTTTTTGCAAACTTATCCTCCAGATTTGATTATACTTCACTGTATAATGAAATTGTGAGTATCATCTCCCACGTTCACTGTGCTGCTTCACCAGCTGGCACTGAAACACCCTTTTTTTCAGGATGCTGTCCATATTGCCAGTAAGCTCCACTGCTCTTCACTGTGAAACCAGTACCTCAGCTCCCTTCACTGCCGTGTGTCTCCTAAAGCATTCAGTTTCCACTGATATATGGCTCATCATTAATTCATAAGTGCTCAATTATCTCAGCAACTCTTTCTTTTTTTCGTGTGTGTGTAACCTTTCAGCTTGTGGGTGGTTTTGTTTCTATAGTGCTTATCACCATAACAACCCTCTCCCCAGAAAAAAAACCCACAACCTTGAATGATTTACTACGCTGTCTTGATTTATGTATGTATTCCAGGTCCAAAGTCCTTAGATGCAGGATGTTAACAGCAGGTGAATACTTCTGGAGAATTTTACCTTGTTAAGGAATTGCCTAAAAGAATGAGTCACTTGCTACATCAACTAAAAATACAAAATCCCAATGGGGTGTGGCAGCTGTTTCCCATATCCATGAGACTGAAGCATTAATCATCCCATTGAGGTTAGCTGGAATTAGCCTTCCCTAGCATCTAACCATGCACATTTTTCATTGCTCAACCCCCCCCCCCCCCCCGAGTCAAGATCCAAGTGTGCTTGGAATCTTCTAAACTGCTCCCTCTTCTCCGGGGTTGGATTAGAAGGAGCTACCCTGCAGCCTGAAGCTCGCTGGAGTTGTTCAGAGAATTTTAGTGAGCACAGATTTAGGCTGCTGCTGCATACGGACTGGAAGGTAAATAAGAATACAAATGTTCTTCATGGCGAAAAAAATGGTCATTATAGAAACCCCCCCATTATCTTCTAGGAAATTATCTAGGAAAATCTAAAAGGAACAAAAATATTACCCCTAATTGTATTAAAGAGTAATGAAGCGCAGGGTGGGGAGAGGACACACACACAAAACCAAAAGAAACCCATGCAAGCTGCCAGCATCCAGGGTGGTGTGTTTTAAAACTAAGACATTTAAGGAATAGTACAGCTAAAAAAAAACAGAATCGTGAACCTCTTTCTGGAAATCACAAGCTGCAGGCTCCTTTAAGACAGCGATGGCTAACAGGAGATTTGCTTTCTGTAAAAGCACAGGGAGAAAGAGTTGTTCAGGATACAGAATGACACTAGCATAAGGTTATCTGCAGGCCATGTATGATCCAAGAATTAGAATGGGAAGGTTTCTCATCACAGGAGAACTGCAGCCTTCCACTGAAAATAGCAAACAAGTACTCTTTTTTTTCCTCACTATTTAAAGTTCTGGAACAGCATAGGAAAGGTGCTTGCACAGTTTTGATAAACAAAGAACATGCTTCCCACATCTGAGACCTCCTGTAGGCTGTTGCACACTCAAAATGTTTAGAGTTCCCCCTCAATTTGTGATGCATTAGAAAGATTTTGACTTCATAAAGAGTTCTTTTCTGCCTAGCACTTCCAGTGGAAGTGCACAGACGTGTTTTACAATGCATACTCAAGCCTATTTGGCTGGAAAATGAAGTTGTTGCCTCCTGGACATGAGGTCTGTAACTTCATTTTGTTAATCTGACACTTCATAAATACTGACACTCATGTTAAGAGGAGGAAAGAATGGTTATTTGCTTGAGCTTATGAAATGAATCTATGAAGCACAAACAGCACAAGGTTTCTACAACCATCAGTTAAACCAGTTTTAATTACGCCACCATATTTGAAAGGACTGCCACATACATGAGTATTACTTGAGAGTAATTAATGACTATATGCAATAGCTTTGTCACAAATATCTTAAACATGTAACATGCTGGTTATGCTTCTACCCCTCCCAGTGTATTCAGAGCCAAGTTTATTTTACATTTGTGCTTTTTTGACAAGTTATGACAATGCTTACAAAAAAAAACATAAAAAAAAGACATCTTATGTTAAACCTTATTACCTATCCTCCCTCTCATTAGGAAGGGTGTCCATTTTATTATGTATTTTCTCCTTCTCAGCTTTAGCTGTGCAAGGATTTTCCATACTTGGGATTCTCTGCTGTGTTTTGAATTCACTAGGAAATAGGCAAGTAGGTACTATCATTACTCATGATACAGGTAAGTCAACACAGTATTCCCCACCAGCCAGTACTGTACAGAAAAGGGGGGAGGGACACATTAATCACAGGATTCTCTTCTTCACCAAGAATCATAAATACAGTTGATTATACATGCAATGACTTAGCTTGTAACACAGTTCTGAAGTCTGCAGACATTTATGCTCTGTACAGTTATAAAATACAGGCCTGGAAGGGACCTTCAGAAGTCACATGGCTTTTCCATAACAGAATCATACGAAATATATATAGAATTACCAAATTAAAATAGGTATTATAAAATGGAAAGCTGTATATACACAACAAATACTGGGCATTGAAAATGCTTAGTTCTAAATGGCTGTAGCTTTACAGTATGCTGGTTAATGCTTTGTAAGTTTGATTTTGTACATGTGCATGAATACATATACCCACACACCCTCTCCTAAGTGCTTGAGTCACAATAGTAGGAAGCAATTCCCCAGCTGCTCGTTACAGAGTAACACAGAGCATTTGCCTTCCACTCTATCTGTACCCCCCTCGGAATCTGTCTCTACTAGAGCTACTTCCCCCATAGCTGCAAGAGGAGCTCCACAAATGAGTCTCTTCATTCTTCTTCCCAAGATGTAGAAAGCTCTCAGCAAAGATAGACCATAATTAAACCTGATGTAAGCTGCTGCAGATCCATGACCAATACAGAGAAGTCTCCAGAATCACTGTCTCCAGAAACACAAGCTAGGAGCCAGCCCAATTACTTTCCGAGACGGGTGTCTGTATGAAGTTTGCATACACAAATTGCTCACAGAACTGCTTTTCTGTATTTACCTGTTATCCCTAGTGACTCACAAAGCAGTCTCAAGTTTACAAAGCTCTGGAGTACCTACAGTGTGCTTCAGAAACTTTTGGAAGTTTTCAGCACCTATGCCAAGATTTTCCTCCAAAGCACAGCTGATAATTAAAAACACTGCAGTTTAAAAGTAGACAAAGGATAGTGTATGTACTACTCAAAGGTATTTGTATTTTCTAAACCAGCATCCCTCAAAAATCATGTAAAAATATGATGTGGTACAACATCCAAAAGTTTGACTCTCTGTGACAATGTAAATTAAAATTGTATGTAGCTCCGTCACAAGTCCTGCAGCAGCCACAAACATACCAGCATTACATTAGCCACTGTTATACACACACCAGCTCTATGCTTTAGAGATCTTCATCCAACAGCACCAATGGGTGGAAAATAAATTTTTATTTTCCCCTTAATTCAAATGGTTAATAGTCAACAATAGTCCAGTAACCGCAATAAGAAGAGATTCTTAGACAGTCAGTGACTGTGATAGTCTCAGGGAAGCTCCTTCCTTGGGACTGATTTTGGTAGAAAAAGAATTTTTTGGAAGGTTTTTTTTTTCTAGTTCCATTTAAGGCAATTTTGTCAGAGGTGAAAACAAAATAACCTACAAGTCCCTCTGTGTTGTTTAAAATCCCTCCTCTTCCTTTCTACACTGTATCTTTATTCATAAGTAAGTGTTTGAATAAAATAAGGATGACTCATTAGTTGGGAGAGGAAAGAGCAAGTAAACCAAATAAAATTGACATGAGAATATGTAAATAACACTTTAGGTAAAAGCTATTTGCTTAATGTTTGCTTAATGATGACAATGTTTTTACTAATTTATTACCGGGTCTAGTAAGAAATACTCTGGAGAAATAAGGTAGATTTTTTTCAGTCTCCTATATTCACACCAAATTTACAGCAGGGGCACTCCTCTGTTATTTCGATAGTCAATTGTACTTGGACTTAATCTTTCAATTTAAGTATGGTGCTCTCTCTGGGGAGGAGTAGTAATAGGTAGGCTTGATGTTTCCCAGGACTTCATCTTCCCAGTTGGGGAGACAGCAGAAAAAGAAAGCACAACCTATTACAACAACAGTGCTGGCCCAACCGAAGCCATAGGCCCAGCTGAACATGTTATCTCCTATCAGTGGAATTTCTTCAGTGAATTTTACTGGGTAGATGACCAAGCCTATGATCTGGAATGCAGCTGGAGAGAGAAATAAAGAAAAGCAGGAGTAAATAACACAGAATGTATTACATTTCCCACTAAAAAAGATACCTGGAGATAACTGCATATCTTTCTAAGATATGTAAAGATTAGCTTCAGTCATACAGTCAGATCTGCATTCTTAGAGGTAAACGACTTCTGGCCAAGGCAGATCCCCACCCCTATCTGACTGCAGGTGATGTTGCTAGGTTGCTAAGGCACATACCTGCATGCTGTGACTAGCCCTGTTCTACAGCTCAGCAACCATGATCCCTGCAGAGCCAGTTACCACCCACTTGTACCATAGCCACATCGCTCTTCCCCCCCTTGGGAAGGTGGAAAGTGCCCAGGACTCTCAGCTGCCATGTGATATGCAGGGCCAGAGGTGTTGGTTGCCTCCATACACTGCTTTTGAGAAAGTGCTAACTGCCAAAAGCCACTGGAGCTTCTCTAACCATTATCCTCTCAGAGCATAAATCAACATTCCTTTGTTCCCCATAAAAATGAATCAAAAACCAGAAAAGGCAGCTTACTTCATAAGGGAATCTCTACCTACCATGTTTTCCTCTTAAGCTTGTTTTACATCTAAAATAACCTTGTCTTTGTGCCCAGCCTTACCAACAACGAAGAGCAAGCCTCCAATTCCTCGAACGAAGTTGAAGCGAAGTATCTCAATTGAGAACGCGATGACTGCAAGGGCAAAACAAATGACCAGGATCACAAAGCCCACAAGGTAGGTGGCAGCTGCTGCTCTCCCCCATCCTTGAAGAGAAAATAAGAAATATGTTACACACAGCACTGCACTGAACTGCAGATCACTGCAGGGCTTTGGTTTCCTTTAATGATTTTTTGTTGAAACCCTTTAATGTAAGAAGCTTGTCCTATGTCAAAGCAACACTGGATGCCTCCAAAGTGCACAGCTGCAAAGGAGAAAGGCACTATTGTTGGTGGAGCAGCCACAGAACTCCCCGCATACTAACCTGTCCTGCTAAAAAGAGGGATGAAGTGCAGCATGATACTAGAAATAACACCTCCAAACTCTGTATCTGTAAGAGACCCAAAGACACCTGAGCAGATAGGACACAACCACTCAGAATGTACTCTTATCATTATTGTTCCTGTTCAACATGCAAGTTTACAAAACCACTTCCATGCCTGGGGAAGTATGAAAGCAGGCAAGAGTGTACCACCACAGGAGATAATGCTGGGAAAAAATAGTGCTGTCAGCATACAGATTCTTGCCTGTTTGTTTTTGACAAGAATAATGCACATGGAGCAAAATTGGCATGACCAAAAAGAAATAGATTTGTAATAGCTGAGGTGAGAGATGACAAAGAGAAAGCTCTTGAAGCTAAATATCTATTCACAGCTGGAAAAGAAAATAGGAACAGCTAAAATGTAGTAGGTGGAGGAGAAACAGCAGAAACTGAGGTGAAGTGGAAGAGTCCTCTTTGAATTGTTACTTTGACATTTGAAGCAACCGGGTAGTACAGATCCTTAGGATCAAGCAACTGCAGACTGGAAGAGGCTCAAGCACGAAGCAAGTGGCCTTACTCAGGAGAGCAGCACCAGAAACCACAACTCACCCACTACAGGCCAGGGCAGCAAAGGTAAGACAACAGCCAGTATTTCCCTTTCCATACTGCCACAGGCTTGTGGAAAGGCACTCATTATGGGCAGACCCTGTGCTCTTTAGAAACCAAGCAGGAGTTCAGATGAGCCCAACACAAACAGACGTGTTCCTGCCCCGGAGGCAGGATACCTGCCCACATGGACTGAACCATTGGGCTAGTGCTTTGTTTTCCAGTCAGCTGTCATCACAGCTCACTTCTACATCTGCATAATGTGGGTTTCTACTTTCACACATTCAGACAGGGGTAGGGTCAGCTTCCGAGCTCCCTCTAATGTAGGAATAAAGAAAGCAGCAAGATTTAGGTCAGGACATAAAAAAAAAACAAAAACAAGTCTCTTTCATCAGAGCTCTGTTCCCACACAGCTGAAGAAACTCTGTAGACACCCTGCTTTCAATGTAGGCCTCTGGTCCCTCTGTGCAAAAACTAAGGAAAAAGACAGTGAAACGGAGAACTTTTTCCTAAAGAGTTAAAATCCTCCACCTTAACTCACATACTAGTTCCATAAATGGGGAAAACAGTAATTTGAGACAGAGAACGCTGTAAAACTATTTCAGACACCTCTACTACATATATCAATTTACTCTCTGAAAGCAAAGCACTGTTTTACAGCCATTTTCATGAGATCAGTCTCAACCAGTTTCTTTCCCCCTACTCCCACAGCAAAGTGAAATACAGTAGCCATCCATCAGCCACATCTCATCCCTACCACCTGAAGACAGTCATGCTGGCATAGAAAGGGTAAGGAAAAGGCTTTTCTTTACCCTGTCACTTCTTGACACTATTCAAGACAGCAAAACCTTTTCTAATTCCTTCTCCTTCAGGTAGCTGTGGATGTTTCATAACTCTTCCCTAACAGTGCTGCGGGGTGAGGAGGAAGGGAGGACACCTGATGAACGTCTGGAGATTAAAGCTGCGTCAGCGGTCTGATAAAATCTTTTAATACAAAATATTCTGACATACTTAGCACAGGTACTGGGTATTGTCTCCACAATAGGATTTAGAGATAACTAATACAAAGGGATAGTTAATCATTACACACAGCCAGCCCAGGAAAACTGATTCAGATTAAATGACCTAGGAATGCTATTTATTGATATTTGCCCTATTAAAAAAGCACAACCACGAGAAGGAACACCTAGTTATCAAAGCACATTCCCTTTCAAAAGCATTACATATGCTGGCACAGTACAGGAAGCCAAGCATAGCATCTGCCTGATAAAATTTAGGTTGCAAATTCAAATACCCCTGCAGGTTAGACACCTTGAGGTTGGTGCAACACAAAAATGACTGGAGGAGATAAGCCAGAAAGCCCCCAGTGCTCTCTGCTATTTCCATATCCTCTGTACTTACCTTACAAGCATAACAAGCTTTTGGATACAGGTCACCCCTGGCTCCACTCACAGTGATTTATTTTCTTGTCTCTGGCAATATGAAAGTGACAACACACAACTGTAGGAGATCTTGTCAGGAAGTTAATATCAAGCCCAGCTTTGCTTCAAGTCTTCAAAAACAGGACTGTATGAGGCACCACCATTATGAAATTCAATGGGTTCTGTGCTCACATGTGACAGAGCTCAGTGCTGGTGACCCTGTATCTTCCCCTCTTTCTCCTGCTGGATTATCTTCTCCAGCAGCAGTTATCAGTGGATTGATAATGACAAGACTGATTCATAGGTGCTGGCCACAGCACTGGATAGGTCTACTCTGGTCTGGACTAGACAACTGCCATCAAACAGCCACAAGAGCCCTGGTAGGAGTCACAGGAGGAGCAGCAAAAAGCTTTGGACTTGTGTATATTTGCACAGTATAAGGGAAATAAGAGAAAATACAAGAAAATACAACGACTATATGAAAAAAAAATCTGAAAAAAAAAAAAACAATTGTAAGTCTTTTAATAAGTGACTGATGGGAGAGGTTCAGGTGGGAGGTTCAGGTGGGAGGTTGCACCCTTACCGAGCACAGGGTGCAGCCCAGCCACTCTCCTTTCCCACACAAGCCATTGCTACTCCCATTAACAGGGAGAGCTTTCAGCAGAGGGGCTGCTGCAGGGCTCCAACTGAAATCGCTGTTTCTCTGTGCAGGATCCCCGTACCTATCAAGGCTGGCTTTCCCAGCTCCTTTCCTTCCCAGAGACTCCCGAGAGCTGATCAAGCCCCCTGCAGGCATACAGCTCTTCTGTCTCCTGCAAGATCCTCCACCTACAGCTCCAAGCTGCTGGGAGGGGAGAGCTGCAGATTTACATTATCACTGCTGCCCTCGGAACTGGAGTGACCTGCTCACACTCAAAGAGGTATCAGCTCCAGTTTCTAGGTGGTTTGTGCTCAGAAGGACCTTGTAATCATGAGACATTTAGCCAGAATTTAAAGTTTTTCCATAGAAGATTCTCAGGTCCCTTCATTTAGCAGGGAGAGTATTTCTTACTCAAAATAGGCACAAATACGATGTCTGTTTATGAAATCACACACCACCACAATGATTTGGGGCTGCATAAATAGGAGAACAGAAAACCAGAATAGTTGTAGGTATTAGTGTTCCCTAGCTCAACTTTGCCTCAAACGAGAGTCAAGTACTTTGTGTCTAATCAACAGAAAGGTATTTATCAATTAGGCGGTGTTGAAAGAACATTAGAAAACTGTTCAGGGGCTGAAGGTCTATAATTATTAGGAAGGATTAAGACTTTTATTACATAGCTTGATTAATGATGACTGTGGAAAGGAACTAAGCTGCAAATATTATTGTGCAAATAACTAGGAGGGGTCAGGATTATTTAATGATGAATACCACTAATATGATGAAATTAAAAAACAGCAAGCAACAGAACCATAGCATAAGGTGTATTTCTTGATTTTATTCAGCCTCAGCCTTAACCAGGAAGGAGATGGAAGCTCTACAGGGTAGGATATTTAAGTCTAGACTTCACTTCAGAAATTAATAAAGGGGCTGGGAAAATAGTCCATCAGGAAGATGAACTGCTATAGAATTTGAAGCAACAAGCCTCTCTCACCTTTGTTCACCTACTTACAAAAGCAGAAACTAGTTTGTTAGCTTGTGAATAACTGGAATCTTGGGGTAGATGTTTTTACCATGATATGCATAGATGAGGCATGTTTTTACACTGTAGTTATAATACTTTCCTGTATATAAATGACAGTAGCAATTCTTGTTTGGCCTTGTCAGTCCATTCCATAGAATGCCCCAATATACCTGCTTTTGCTGATGGAACAAAAGAATAGCAAACTGCAAGCAAGAGAGCTCTGTCACTATTTTTCTTGCTCACAGAATGTGCAAATTTCCATGGTAGCACGACTGGTGAAGGAAAGGTATGTGCATACCCACTGCAAGCACAGGACAGCCCAGAATCAAACGTTCACTGGGAGGGCTGGCTGGGAATTAGCACTGGGAATCACAGTTCTGTTTTGGATTTAGAAGTGCAGGAAAAGCAATTGCTTACTATCAAACTATTGAATAAAACCCACTGGTACAAACCTGGCTTCAGCCTCTTGGCTCTGCTGGGAGCTCAGGAAAGGCACAGTCCTATATATTTCCAGCTTTTAACATCTCCAGATTACTAGCAGCAGAAGTGTGCATGCCCAGGGGCCAGAAAAGCCCTCTGGCAAGGGACACCGGCCTCGCCTGTTGCGGAGATCTTTTACTGGGGAGATGCAATAAATGTCTCCTGGCTGTAGCCAGGGACACCAACTGCTACACCTTTGCCATTATCCTTCTCCAAATGCCTGCATTTGGCTGACACTATCCTGGCACCGTAAATCAGAGAAGCATGCCTGAAGAGGCACACTGGAAAGGTAAGTACATGTAACAATCCTTCTCTACTTATCTGGCCCCTTGGAGAAGTTAAGACATTCACTCAGATTCACCAATAAACTGTGGTATCAAAGTCCAAGCTTCTAAGGACACAGGTATAGTGGCACAGCCACAATAAAACATGATTCAAAAAAGCTGGGCTCCTACTTCTAAGTTCCACACCCCCCCCCTTTTTTTTTTTGGCACTAAGGATCCAGATGAATGCTTCCTTTTTTTTTTACTCTGGCTCCTGTGTGCTTAATAAATACCAACTGTCTTTTAGGAATACAAGCAAGAGTTAATCTCTTTGGCATCACCTTTACTGCACATACACACCCATCTTTTACAGTGATAATTCAGAGTTAAATTGATGGGAGCAAGCCATTCAGAAGCACTGGGAGGACACAGCTATGCACATGTACTGCTCCTAAACTTAGAGCTTCATCATTATAAAGACAACTACCCTCTCCAAGTAACCGCATTGCAAACAATTCTTGTCAGATCAGACAGCTTACCGATATTAAACACACAGTCAACAGTTTAATCCTGCAGTGGTCCAGACTAAGTCATCTTGAGTCCTATTCTAGTGCAGCACAGCAGCTCTGCATTGCAACACTTTGATAATACACAAGTGCTGCCAGACAGGACACTTCCCAGACACAAACCAGTATGGAGTTCCAAACAAAATCCCTTTCCCACCTCCCTACCAAATGACATCCTACTCTTCTTTTTTCCCCACTTCTTCCCTCTTATGCGGCAAGTGTGTATTTAGAAACAATGCAGTTGAGAAGACACTTCTATTTGCAAATGTTTGTCTGCTCCTGCTCTTCCCTCCCTCCCGCCCCCCCCCCCCCTTTAAAATAAGTTACCCATCTGCTTCTTCTCTTCCACTTCTTAGTATGCAGCTCAATTAAGAAATTGTCTAATGGAGCTTTCCATTAATGGGGATCCACTCTGAAGTTTTCATTTCATCGGGAGAGGTGCAGGACATATAGTGCATAGTAGTTACAGTACATAGTCGTACAGTAGCAAAACACAAGCTATTCATCTCAATTAATTAACTTTTATTTTCCTGCAGCAGTGCTGTAAATGCCTGGTAGGCATTTTTTCCTTTGTAAATGCCCTCTCCTATTTTGAGCCTGATGGCATTAACATATAAAACAGGGAACAAAATAAATCAAACTTGAACTCATATCCTGTTGAGATGTAAATAGTATTTGAGCAGACAGTGGCATTGATGTCATGAAAATTAGAGAAGAGGCAAAGTGAAGTTGGTGTAAATAAGCCAAGGATTTAAATGAGTTTTGGGTTAAACAAGGCAAGGCTTAAATGACTGAAGTCAAGGATACTCTTCTTCTCTAACAGCTTGTTAACTATTAAAAACAGCATAAAGTTGCTTTTGCCCCACAACGCCTAGGGCTGACGCAAAGAACACACCCATCAGCACTCAGGGACATGACATGAGCAGCTGTGTCACTACAGGAGAAAGCAGAAGTGTATGAGCACTTCTTCCCTGTGCAATGCAAATCTCGGCAGCTCTGCACTAGCTTTTCCTGTGTCTAATGGGGGAGACAGACATTTATGTCACTCCAGCCAGATTTCTGCCACCTACAATATAATCTGCAGTCATCACCTGGCTGAGGATCAAAGCCACTGCTCTTACAATATATTCAGGACTCAGCTCACAAATGAGTGTTGCAATGAAAAGCTGCTGGAAGTCAGTCCGCAGCACTGAGGCAGCAAGGGATCTGCACAGGGAAGCAGTCCCAGCTCTCCCAGCTGAAACACACCCTTCCAGCTTCCCAGTCCCCAAAGTACCCTCATCCGGGATCTTAAGGCGGGTCTGCTTATTTCTCCAGAAATACTTTGTTTGAAGGAAAAGCACATGTAATCAGACCCACGTCTTCTAGCAAATAACAAAAAGACCCCCCAAAACACCAGCAACTGGGAGTGTGCAGTAAGTACACTAAGTACACTGGCAGTGCCAGGTACGGAAGCATACAGAAGTTCATGATACAGAAGTTCAGTAAGTTAAAACAGAGGCATCCCCTGATTTAGGCCCCAGCTCAGTAGAAAGGTATACAGAGGAAACAGCATCTTTTTCCAGCCTGCAAATCCACATCAGGCCATTTGAAGCTGTAGGTCAGGAGGCATCCTAACAGCCACATTCCCTTGAGAAGGCAGGGTTAAACTAAGGTGCTCTCCCACTCCTGTGGGCCAGGGGCAAAACAATTTTACTATTATCCAGGTGTGGTTCTCCACCAACACCCTGCACGAACGTTTCCATGCTCACCATCCAACCAGTGAGGCCACCAGCACAAGGAGGAGAGATGGCTAAGTGCCAGGCCAGGCTGCTGAGGCTTGCAGCCAGCAGGTAGGCAAAAGTAAGCAGGGTGAGGAAGGGGCTTGTGGCCAATTGGTTCTCTTACTTTGGTTGTACCAATAGAAGAGACTGAATATTTGACTAACAGGTTGGAAGGGACCTCAAGGACCATCTGACTCAAACCAGATTGCTCTGAAGGTCTAGACCTGTGTTTCTTTGCTGGTTTAAGCCCTAAAACAGCACTAGCACTGACTCTGCAAGGGCAACTCCAACCCAGAAAGGAGCAGTTCCACGACAGCAGTGGGGAGGCCATCCATGGCAAGGCACCCCCTGCCTCCCAGCCATCGCTCACCGTAGTCCATGAGGGACTCGCAACTCCAGTTGAGGTCCTCCTCGCCGCGTGTGCAACTCTCCCAGAGTGACGCTTGCTGCACGTAGGGCTCGGACTCGGACTCCAGCCAGCCCCTGCCCGCCAGGGCGATGATGCCCATGATGATGGCGAGGCCCAGCAGCAGAGGCAGGAGCCATCGGCACCTCCAGCAGGCGAGGCCGCACGCCACCATCCTGCCCGGCCGGCGGGGACACCCGGCGAGCCCGAGCGCCGCGGGTACGGTGTGCGGGGACGCTGCGGCAGGACGGGACGGGACGGTGCGTGCGTGCCGATCCGAGCGGGTTTTTAAGGCGGCGGGGCGGAGGGAGTCCCACCCACATTCCTCTGACTAAGCCTGGCGGCGGCGGCCCTGACCGGTGTGGCTGGCGCGGTGGAGGGGAGGGAGCGCGGGATCCAGCGGGCCCGGCCCCGTTCCTGGCTCTGTCCCAGCTCCCCGCGTCCAGCCGCTCACCCTACCGTGCTCTGGCTGGCAGTTCGCCTTTTAGTGGCTCCCACCAAACCTTGGTTCTCGCAGTTTCAAAAGCCCTGCCCGGGTGTTTGAACCTCATCTTTCTCTTCGCTGTTCCTTAGATAGACAGATCAATGTTGACCAGCATTGATAACACTAACAGTGTTAGCTGCTTCAGGTATGGAAAGCTTGCAGTAAGCTGCTTTGCAGTTGAAATGGCCAACTTCTTGCCCAGTTTTTTGGGCAGTTTTCATGCAGACAAGAAGGAAGAAAGGTGTTACATGAGGATGGGAATGTGACATTATTACCAAGGAAGCCATCACTTGCCTGGCATCAAGCTCAGCATTGAACAGATGCGTGATTCCTAATGGCTGTCTAGCGATCATTTGATTGCAGTTGTGCCCTGGCTTCCAACCAGCTTGTACTGGGCCCAGTCCAGCAGTGGCACTCAGGACCCATACGCCTTGATTTTCCCCATTCCGTGTCTGAAATGCACCCCTGAGATGACCAAAACGAAGGCTTCCCCATCACATGGCTTGAATAAACACCCAAAATTTTGGTTGTGGAGAAAAACTTCTTCACAGTAAGATCTAGGCGCATCTCATCATGTCACCCCACTGCCCAGCTCAGTGCAAACTCTCAGCATATAAGCTGAGACATGTGCCTATCACAGGACTAGAGAGCTGTGTGTTTTGGGCATGTAACAAATGTGCACTTGATCAAGTCTTGGAGCAGCTTCAAAGCCTCACCAAAAAGGCCAGTAGAAGAGCAAATCTTTGAGGTCTGAAAGGCTAAAAAAAAACAGTGGATAGGGGGGATTCAGTGGGTTTCATGGAGGATGGGGACGTATGAGTACTTACTGGACTGCATCAAATGGCATTTTGCCACAGCCATGTCAAACATGTTAAACTGTGCCCAATGTTAATTCCTCAAAGGATACGGGGGGGGGGGGGTGGTGGTGGTGTCCTGTGAGGAGGAATGGTCAAGCTCCTTGAGTACGAATTGCTGGCAAATGCTAGAGAATGGACTGTGATGCTAAAATCAGGACAATAAGATGGTATCGCAGTAGGCAAGTTGCAAAAATCTCAGGCAGGTTACCCCAAACTATGTAGAGTTCCACCAGCCCTCTCAACATCCTCCTCAAAGTTCCCACCAGAAAAATCTAGAGGTGTTATATTTGTCTAGGAAATATGTACTTGCACGTACTTGTTCATGCAATATGAGTGGAAAATGAGATATGAGAAGTATTAATTCTTCCAATAATAATGACACAATTTCTATGAGAAAGTATCTTTAAAATATTGTTTGCATATTTGCTGCATAGCATGTGGCTTTTCAAAGAGTGCAAATGAAAACCTATAGCTTGGCATTCTTGTATCATTTCCTAAAAACTGAAAAGAAAAAGGGGGTATTTTAAAGTTGAGGCTTTTAAGAACTTCCATTTTTGAATACTATGCAGGGACTACTTGCCATTTAACTGTCTCAAGGCCTTTTACTGGCAAAATAATGAAGGGCCTTTTTTAAAATCTAATCTAGCTTTAAGTCACCTATCAGGAAAAGTCAATGACCTGCGTATTCCTGCGTAGTAACTTGTATTGTGACAAGGTATCAATTAATTGTTTATTTATACACATATACACATATATACTTTTACACACAAATACTATTTATTCATAACTCCACTTCCACTCTTCAGTTCTTGCCACTGTTTCCTTACAATATTGATTTAAATCATATCTCCATTTGTGTTATTCTTGAAGCTTTCATTACCACAACTTTGCCCATCTCAAATCCAACCAAATCATCAGTAGCACACTACAATCGACTTGAGGAACATGACGAGAAACACCAAAGGCAGCCTGTAAGCCCACATCTGGCATTAGCATCTCTCATGGTATATCCTGCTGCTCTCAGTGACCCAGTAAAGAGAGAAAAGTCATCTTCCCCTTTCCTTTTAAACACCTGGCTTTTAAACAACTGGGAAATCTAGCTGAAGTTAAAATATACCAAACATTTCATTCTGTGTGATAGAGAGCCTACAACACAGTTATCTTCCTTCAGTCCCCATGTTGCTTGGATTTAGTAGAGGAAATCCAGCAAACTTACAAACCAGTGCCTCCTGCAGCAAAATAGGCAGCTCCAGCAGCATATGTAGTTTTTCTCACCTCCAGGCTGTGTAGCCCACATCTTCACAGAGACCAGATGGCAGGAGTCAGCTTTGTGGGGCTGCAATGATACACGCATTAAAAATACGCAGTGCTATGTTCATGGGGAAAAAAATGCCCTCATATATAACAAAATAAACCAGAGTTTACTTTACTAAACACCAAAACCACCTGAATCTATCTGGACATTCTGGATCAGGCTGTTCTGTCAAAAGTACATTATCTTCAGCTATGAACATAGCTTTGTATTCTGTAGTAATGAAAGTCTAGATGCTTTTCCAAAATTTTTCTTTTACCATGGAAAAATGGGATCATGAGCGTCTTTCACCACTGCTATCCTTACCTTTAATATTTATTATGTAAATAGTCAGATAATTTCATAATCTCTGGGGCTCTATAGCAATATCTTTTCTCTGCACTTAACAAAGGATATGTCCCCCTAGTAGATGGTGCTTTACATGGAGTAAATCATTTACCACTGCTGGCAATCATTCACCCAGCTATCAGAAAACCAAATGGCACTGAATGAAGGTCAGAGATCAGCTCCAGCCCAGATGAGCATGGCTGGGCTCTCCCAGAGATGCCTTTGAAATGGGATGGTGGGAATCTACAGGCTGGTTCCCAAGAGTGCATCCCAGGGGGATGACATGATGGGTAGCACAGTGCCAAAGCACTCTCTGTCCTTCAGTGGGCAGCCATGAGGCAGGGCAGGGGATCCCCTCAGGGCTGTGGTACCTTTTCTTTTTCTGTTTTACCTAAATATGTTTTTCTGGCCTGATTACCTCTCAGCTAAAACCATTAGGGAAAAAACAATGTCCAGAGACTAAGTACCTGTTGTAAATCAAATTATTTTATAATTCATGGGTGTTGTTCTTCAGCAGCGTCTTATGCTCACTTTCCTCCATGCCCAAGTGCCCTAATTCTACTTAATACCTCTTCAAGCATCACAGCCATAATACCTAATTAGCATCACCAAAACAAGGTAGTCATTCAACCCATAAAATAGGATAGGGATAGGAGGTACTTGGTATAACCCACAACTGCTCCAGCAGTATTTCCAGACCAAACGCCAATTTCCTGGTGTGCCAAAAAGCTGCCATTATCTGAATTTAAAAGAAAGCCATTTTTCTGACCAGCTTTTGTCAGTAGACCTTGTTTGAACTCAGCTTACATTAGACTCATCTGGGGCTGGCACAGGTGAAACAAGCTGGTTCTGTGCAATTGATGCACTGTTGAGCCTGCTTCAAAAAGCCTTGTGAAAATACTAGGACAACAGCATGGCCTGCAGAAGTGTGACTAACCCATTGTCATTCCACTGAGAACACCTTATGTGACTCCATCTGCCTGAGATGATCTAAAATGTTAGAAATAAAAAGATGTGAAAGAGCCCTCCTTCTTCTGTGCATGCTCTGCCTGTGACTGCCATACAGATAGCCATGGAAGTTCATGTGAGCTAACTAACTCCATTTTTTTACAGAGTTTGCAGAGGCCTCTGTATTGTTCTGGAATTGCACTGGATGCAATCCTGTCTCTATTAAAGGAAATGGCAGAATTCCTGGTGGCTGGAATTTTAGCCCAGAGCTCTCTAGGGGCCTCAGATTCACTTAGATCATACCTACACAATATCCAGGGTCTTCAGACAGCTAAGGTCTATGGATTTGTTGCTGCAGCTCTTCCTTGTTTACCTCATCCTCTCATTTGCATTTTCAAATGTAAAAAAGGAAAGCATCAGATGAAGAACCATGTCATCCATGACCTCCATATTCATTCTGGTTTTGTCTGTAAGTCCTTTTCCAAGGCTGCAAACTGACCATCTTCATGTGTGACGTTACAGATTAGTAACAAAGTGCTAGCAGTTGACCAAGCTGATGCTGAGGTTTTCACTGGGTTTTGGCTGTGTTTTCCCCCAGCAGAAAAGACCTAAGGGTGCTGGTTGATGGCTGAACATAAGCCAGCTTGTGCCCAGGCAGCCAAGAAGGACAATGGCATCCTGGCCTGTATCAGTGCTAGTGTGGCAGCAGAGCAGGGCAGTGATCATCCCCCTGGTGAGTTCAGTTCTGGGCCCCTCGCTGCAGGAGAGACATTGAGGTGATGGAGCAGGTCTAGAGAAGGGCAATGAAGCTGGTGAAGGATCTGGAGCACAAGACTTAGGAGGAGTAGCAGAGGGAACTGGGGTTGTTTAGTCTGGTGAAGAGAATGCCCAGGGGAAACCTTTTCACTCTCTACAGCTACCTGAAAGGAGGGTGGAGCAAAGCAGTGGCTGATCTTTTCTCCCAAGTAACAAGTGATAAGACAGAAGGAAACGGCCTCATGTGGCAGCAGGGGAGGTTTAATTGTAGATTAGCAAAAATTTTTTCACTGAGAAGGTGATCAGGCATTGGAACAAGCTGCCCAGGGCAGTGGTAGAATCACAGTCCCTGGAAGTGTTTAAAAACTGTGTAGATGAGGCCTTCAGTGACATGGTTTAGTGGTGGCCTCGGCAGTGCTAGGGTAATGGTTGGACTTGATGATCTTAAAGGTCTTTTCCAACCGAGTTGGTTGTATGATTCTGTGGACTTGTATAGTCGGAAGCAGCGGAAGTCCTGACCAGCAGGGGGCAGGCGACACCTCAGAGAAGCGGTGCTGTGCCGCAGGGGGGCAGCTGCCACCTCCTGCCAAAAGTCATCCTCCTCCTCCTCCCTCTCTTCGCCAAAGGG